TAACATTATGCCTAGTTAAACCAAAAGTTACCCTAACCTAAAACTAATGTTATGCTACCTTGAACCCACCCTAAACTTAATCCAACGTTAGCGCAACGTTACCCTAAAGTTTTCTTTTTTTCCTTTGGTTTTGAATTTTATTGGCCTTTTCCTCTCGTGTAGCTAACACCTGTTAGCTTCTCTCCTGCTCTCTGTGCTCATACAGTATTTTAATACAGCTGAATTCCTTATAAAGCTCTTCTCATTTACAGATTTTTCAGTTTCTGCTGTCAGACAACAGAACGAGTATGAAACTCAGACTGAAACTCGGCCCATTAAGACGACGTGCTGAATAAGCTGCTTCTCTGATTATGTAACGTTGCGTAACAAGCTCACAAAACACTTGAGTTCAACTGAATTCAGTAATATTTACATAAATGCAAAGCTATTAACAAAGTCAGAGAGCAGAATAAGGAGGAAATTGTGTTTTTAAAATATCCACTACAGACAGAACTTTTTCACTTTATTTACCGGTTTAATGGAAACTTTGTTTTGGAGCGGCACCACTGACTCAAATAATGAGTCTTGTTTTTTGGGGTTTTTTTTCATTTTGATCAAGGAGTTTAATTCTGTAGTTTAAATATGTCAAGATGTCACACTGTTCAGCATTTTTCAGTGACATACAGTTTGTCAGAGTGAAATTAACTCAAATAAATTGGCCATTTTATGAAATAATATGATACAATAAGCCTTTCTTGAAGAGAAAACATCAGGGGAAAATATCCATGAGTACTTGTTTGGATTGTCAAAATTCCTCTGGATGGAAATAACAGTTTTGTACATTTTAATCGTGATTTTCATTTAATGGAGCAAAATTAATTCTTGACATGTATCAACTAATTGGTTAAAAAAAAAAGCAGAAAACAGATTAAAAGATGGAAACTAATTGCTCGTGGCAGCCCCGTGACGGTGATGTTGTCACTACTACTGATAACGTGACCCCTACAGTCGATCCCGTGCTATGGAGGCGGTTCCTCACCTTGGTCTTGGTTCTTGTCCTGGTTCCTCGGTGCTACAGGTGTGCGTGGGACCACCATGGCGGGCAGGTAGACCTCCTGGTTGGTCAGCACGTTGTTCAGCTTGTTGCCCCCTGCTTTGTTGCCTGCTTTAGCGCCTCCTTTCCCCCGTCCATCGGCCGCCCTGCCCTTCAGTCCGTTCGCCTCCCTGGGTCTCTGGTGTCCATTCCTGTCCCGGGTCTTGGCCTCCTCACACAGCCGTCCCCCTCGTCTGTCCGTCGGTCCGTCCTTCCCTCTGACCTCCACCAGGCTCCTCTCTCTCATCGTTGCTGCTCCTCTTCCTCTTCCTCCTCCACCTCCTCCTCCTCCTCCGGCTGCTCTACGTTGACTCTTCGGGGTGCTGGAGGCCTGCGTCGACGCCGGTCGCTCTCGCGGTCGAGCTCGTGCCTCTGCGGTGGCGGCGGTGGGACCGTTGGGTCTGGATCCGTTGGCCGTGGGGGGTTTTGGAGCCGGTCGGCGTTGTGAGCCCGGCCGGACTTTGTCCTCCGCTTTGGCTTGGACATCCGGTGGCGTTAGATCCCCTTAACAAACAAACACAACATCAGATTAGGTGTTGGGCAACCAGGTACAGTCGACAGAGGGATTAGCAAAGTGGCCTACGATAAGCAGTTTATCCGGATCAGAGTTACAGCAACAGAGCAAAAACCCACTCATGCTTCATTTCACAGGGTTGTGGCGTCACGTTTGTCCTGTTCACTCAAAAATACGCTTCAGACCCAAAACAGTGGCTTTTAAAACTGGACAGGTGACAAAAAATGTGTTCTTTCTCTGATAATATACACAATAAACGGTTAATAATGACTCACAATGTCACAAAAACAAAGAAATACAAGCAGGAACATAAATAAATGCTTTGTGCGTCCAAAT